TTTGGATTTGTTTTATTTTTAGCGAAAAAACCTATTGTACAACTAGTGTTTTTATTTTGATTAATTATCTCTTCTCCAAGTAATATCGTTTGATTTATCGTCTGTCTTTTTTTGAGATTCTGGCTTGGATCAGGTGTATCAATTATAATCGGCCTTAATGGTTCAACATGTTGTATAAATGCTTCATTCACCCTTCGGTTTTTGACGGGTTTAATTATAACGATATTATTACGCAATACATCCATATAAAAAAATATGCTGATTGGTCTATACCTATCAATCATTTCTCTTATTTGATCATATTTTATTTTTAAATTAGCTTCGGAAGCTCTTACTTTTACAAATGAAAGAAGATTTCTGTATGGTCTTACTTCGGGTAATATCAGAAGAGGTGTGATCGCGGAGTTGTTTGCTGTATAAATAATTAATTCTTTCTTTATTACATCCACGTAAGTTCCAGCAAAGTAGTCCTTATTCAGTAATGGTTTTATAACTTTATCCACCGCAGATAAATTCTTCTCAATATTTATATACTCGGGTAGTTGGGCATCATTTATTCTCCATAATTCTGCCAAAGGTTCCTTAGCATGAATCACTAATAGATTTTTTGCCATTAAAATAATTATCAATAAATTTATCAAAAAATAAAGATTTCTCATATTGATAGTTTTATTTATGTTTCAATAGAATACTGTTAATGAGGTATGTAATGTAGTAGTAAATATTCCAATTATTTGTCAATGAATTTGCTAGTTATTAATTAAATGGTCTTTCGTTAAAGTGACCAAATGGTTTGATCTATTTATATAAAATAATTTGATTTCACGAATATAATATTAATTTGTCTGGTCAATATTGATATTGACTGGTCTATACCAAGTTTGATCCGTATTATTATTGTCATAATAAATAAGTAACATGATTTTGAAAGTAATGAAGAATTGAATTTTAAATAAATGGAATCTTTGCCTTGAAAATCGGACTGATTACCGGTTCATGTTTATACATTAATCATCTTTGCCTTTATTGATTTAATAGTTATGAATAACTATTGAATCAATAAAGGTAGAAAATGATTAACATAAAAAATGAACCGGTATTTTTGTCCAAATTAACCCGATTGGAAATGTCGTAGGGTGATTTTCAATGCAAAAACCCCAAACAAGGCTTTAAAATTATA